CAAAGCCTTGAAAGCTTTATGTAGCCGCCCAAAACCATGCTGCCATGTACATGTTGTTGCACACACAGCCCAATAGAAGCACAACACAATGGAATTTGCATAGCAGATCTGAGTGTTGTTCCGAAGCGTCATAGCACGAAGTTGTTCAAGATCTTTTGAATCGACTTGGCCAACTGTGATCGCCCGAGACCTTCTCTGCGATAGTGCATTCCTACTATTTGGAAAACTGCATTCCCCATGAGATTCACGAGCATCTGCTGAGCATCCATCGCGTCCTTGTCCGCAATGGCGAGGTCTAAAATCATTGCTACAGTCTCTCCCTGCATTTGCTCTTGCAATGGTCTGAGTGACTTGAAGCGGTGAATGATGCGATCCTCGGCCAGCGATTTCTGAAGACTTGCGAGCTTCGTCATCATCTCTGCATGGGGGATGGGTGTCTTGTTTTCGCACACTCGCAACTTTTGCTCCTCCGGGCTCCACTCCTGAAACACCCACGCCTGTCCCGTGAACCATCCCGCCTTCTGCGCTGCAGCTTGTTGCTCTGGAACTGCAATCCTGTCCATCAGTATGGCCACCAAGCCCTGCAGGAGCACGCATCGAAGTGGAACCCTTCCTACTGCTGTTGCCTTGTCTGCTTCCCGTTTCCACTGGCCCGCTGCTGCCACTAATTGCTTGACCACGCTGCAGGGGTGCTTGGGTGTTTGCAGCCAAAGTATGAATGCAGAGTTTTGCCGAAGTACTGAGATCGAATCCTCTTGTCTCAGCACTAGCTTTGCTAGCATTGCTACCAGTTCCTCCATCTCGCAATGCATGTCTGGAACTGCCTGCATCGACTGCGGTTGCATCTGAAGCTGCCGCGCCCTTTTGTTTCCCCCTTTGTGACCTCCCTTGCCTCCCCATCCCGTTCCGTTTGGAAGTCTTGCTAGCTTGGATGGCCTGCTGTTTTGATCCTGCCAGCTTCTTTCCCCCACAGGATCCACTTGCATCGCCGCCGAGTTGAGTAATCCGAACATCTGATTCAGCTGATCTTGTGGTACGGCTTGCATCCTGAAGCATTGCGAACATCATTGAGCTTTGGAACAGAACCGCGCATCGTTTCGCATGATCACTCGGTGTCCTGCAAGTTGAGGCACAGTAGCAGCAAGGGGAGCCAACAGCAATGCCTTTCTGAAGCTTCATAGCAGCAGCAGAGTACTTCTCAAAGTCAGCAAAATGACTGTTTCTGTAGTGGTTCTTGATCATGTATCCGGAAGCAATCCATTGACCGCACAACGCACAAGTCTGCTGCAAGGATCTACCATATGTGACATCCGCTGCGAAAGCTTGCACTCCATTGTTCAGTAGCCTCTGCTGCGCCACCTGCGAGTGAAACACTGCCTGCACAGTATTCGCCCCTGAATCATTAATGACATCACCTGTTGTGTTTATCGGCTTTAAACATCTTCGTTCTCTGATATGTCTTTCAAGACCTGACCATCTTGTGAACTTTTTCTTGCATCCTGAACATGTGGGAACTCCACCAACAGCATGAACTTGTTTGTTGAATGCACCATTTTTGTCAACCAAGATCTTGTGAGCCCGAAGTTCGTGGACGCGTAGACTTTTCTGACTGTCAAACGCTCTGTCACATTCCTTGCATTTCCAATTGATAGTTTCCGGAATATCATGTGCAGCAACATCTGTCACCGGTTGGTCCGCGCATGTCTCCAACATCTCTTCTTCACCGATAATGCTCGGAAACTGTTGACATGTGTGACC